AGAAAAGGCCCTGCTGATCCTTTACACGGCATGCTACAGTTTCAGTAGCGGCGGGAGCGGTTCCACGCGTCCCACTCTGCCTGGGTGTACCGCCGGCTCTGCTGGCGGCTGCGGTTCCATTCGTCCCACTGCGCCTGAGTGTAGCCTTGATACGTTGGGGCCGCTGCCGGGATCGACGCCTTGGGCGTGTTCCTGTTGCGAGCGGTGACCTGCCGGTTTTGCTCGGCCAAACGTTCGGTCTGTGCTGCTTGCGCCTCAGCGGACACCAAGCTGTCGTCCAGGATGTGCTTGAGCTCCTCCCGCATTTCCACATTGGTTCGCCCCGTGAGGTTCACTTCGCCGTCGAAGGTCAAGATGCGACGAGCGTCTGGGGTGTGCATCGCGATATCCGCATACAACCGTGGTGGGAGGAATGCGCCCATGTAGGTGAAACCGATGGGCACACTGCAAACATCATCTGTCAAGCGCAGAGTGCGGAGGGGCTCCACTTCGCAGTGGGCATAGTACACGAGTTTGCCTGGCGCAACCGTCTGAGAGGACGAGGAAAAATGCGCACCTGCTCGTAGCACACGCTGTTCCTCATTGCGGCCAGGGTCCGGCAAGCATGCCTTGGCGATATAGTCAAACCGATGCATGTCCTCGAGACTGCGACCCTCCTGCATCATGCGCTTCTGGAACTGCTCATCAAGGTCCCAGCGGCTTGCAACACTCGAATAGCTGAGCTTGTTAGCACGAACCACACGATCCTTAGCGTCCCTCACAACCGTGGCCTCGGCGGACATCTGGCCCCGCTTCTTCGTGCTTGCGTTAAGCTGTCTGAAGTCGGCGCTGATGAGGTTTTCCACCGGCTTGCGGGATCCTGCGGCAGCTGTCGCGAGAAGGCGAAGGCGAAGACCTTTGTTCTCAAAGAACTTTCTGGTCACCTTGGAGGATTCGTCTGTCTGGGGAGCTTTGCACTTTAGGCAGAACAGCATCCCCTTCGCCACGACAGCCTGGCAATTTGCACAGGGGAATGACCCGAGCGGATATGGGTCATCCTCTCCCGCATCGGTTGTGTCGCTGTCGACATCCACAGCAGCAGAAGACTCACCCTCGCGGGTGGCTTTATCATCGTCCATGGCAACGTCTGCGAATTCCTCCACCGAGGTTGTTGTCGGTGGCATCTTGTTCACAGTCGGCTTGGGTGCCGAGGTTTTCGCTGCCGTGGGCTTGATTGCCGGGGTCTTCGCTGCTGGCGGGGCCTTGCTGGAGGAGCTCGCCGCTTCCTCATAGTCGCGCTTGGCTCTGAATGCAGGCTCACCAGTGATGGTGGCTTCAGGGCTTTCGGCAACATAGAGCGGCTGATCCTTTTTGGAAGTGTCGACTGCCGAAATGATGCACTCGGGCGGAACGGTGTTCCGCGTGAGGGTGCCATCGGAGTCAGTCGTAAAGAACTCGCATCCAGAGGCCATCGCTTTGAATGTATCGATCGTGATCTCGATCGGCATGTTAGATCTCATGCCACTTTGGTAGCGGGCATCATTGAGGCGGTAGGAAGAGAAATAGCCATGCGCACGACCAGATCTCTTTGCTCCTGGGATGATGCCTCCTTTGAGGATCGACTGAAGGCCACTGGCGGTTGTGCGGTGGTAGATCTTCTTGGGGGTGTCGGCGGCGGAGAGCACTGTGACACCAAACTCGCTCGATCTCACCTCAGCCTCGTCAGCATCCAGATTGCTGTGCCAAGTCGTTGCGAGGAGATAGTCGGCCTCTTCGTTGCTGACCAATCTCTCGTTGTGGCCTTGGGCAACGCGAACCCTGACAGGGAACAAGTCCTGTCCGATTGTCTCCTTCATCGGGACGTCAATGCCCAGCAATCTGACGCGGCCCTTCTTGTCAGCCTTTGCTGCCCTGAGGAGCTGCCTCACTCCCCATCGCCTTTGGCGGCAGTAGTTGAACCTGTCGAGCGGCTTGTTGACATCGGTCCAGCACCCTTTATCAAAGACCAAACCATGCTGCTCCAACTCGTGGCCACGTAGCAGAAGAGAGAGAAACTTGAGGTCGCCATGGTTGAATTTCACCTCTTGGTCTCCTCGAATGTCTTGTGGATTGAGTGGCAACATGCGGTGCGATGCACCGTTGTAGAAGTACTCCTGTGCCGGAGACCCAGTGGATGCGGCTACCCCTTGCGGGGCGCTATAGTCGACGTACATCTCACGTCGAAGAAGGTCCTCGTCGTGGTCGGACATCCTGGTTGGAGCAGCCTTTGAAGGAATCGGTGGTGCTGCATCCTCGATTACTCGTCCCATTGACGATTGAATGGGAACATCGTAATCGCCAGCATCGACTAAATCCACGTCACTTGGTGGCTGATACGACACGTTGCCGTCGGCGTCTTGGACCACCACATCGTTGACTCACTCGGCAATGCTCTCCACCGTCGTTGTGGGTCCAAAGTCCGGCACATCCTCGTGGATGGCTTTGTCAGCAGGAGGCGTGGTTGGGAGTGTCGTGAAGTCGGCGGCTTTGGCCACATCCGGCTGCTCCCACGCTTTATCCTCCTCCGTGATTTCGGAGTGCTCCTTCTTGATCTTGATACCCGCCCTGGCATTCTTGATCGCCTCTTTCTCAGCGTGCCAATCGCGGAGCGCCTTGGTGGCGAATGGGTTCCCTGCATTGTCGGGTTCCTGATGCTTGTACTTGCGGCGCAGCGGCTTGATCGCGATCTGCATCATCTCGGCTATCCACTCGGCACGGCTGACACACAGGGTTGCGTGGATGTACGCAGTGAACACTTCCCTGTTGTGGTCGTCCTCCGAGGCGTGGAATGCATCGTACAGCTCGAGCTTCTCCACGCAGGCGGTCGCCGACTGGGTCTGCAAGCCTCGGTTCGAGAATTCCGTAAACATGGCTTCATTGACGTCATCATAGGCATTATGCAGCTGAAACAACTCGGAATCAACCTTCCCGATGATCTTGATGAAGCCAATCTCGTTGCCGGGCTCACCCTTGCGGGCGGCTAAGGAATCAGCAGCTCGGCGGATTTTCTTTGCCACCTGCTCTGTGGTTGCCGCACCTTCCCGATACGCCGCTCCTGGGGCGATTCTCGTCGGGATGCAGCCCCACTGGCCGCTGATTTCATTGCC